CGAATGCTGATGGCACACACAAGCTTGAGCCCTTTATTATTGGTCATGCTAAGAAACCTAGATGTTTTAAAAAAAAAACTGATAAACAACTTGGGTTCTATTATTGAAACAATTTAAAAGCCTGGATAATCGCTATATTTTTTCTGATAAGAGTATGAATCAAAATCAATTAGTTAGTCAAAATAGCAACTAAATAATTACCCATTAATTTCATATATGTTGTGATATTATTACGTCATTTGGTTCCTATATAATAAAAAAAAATATGAAAAAGTGAAAAACGAAAAAAAATTGAAAAAAAAATAAAGAAAAAAAGAAAATGCCATTAAAAGAGAAATAAAGGTATTATAGTGAAGTTAACAATATTGTTAACAATATTTGATCGATCATATAATCTATTGGTTGAAGCCAAATAATTTTATTTTTATTTTATTCATCTTGTTAATCATGAATCTCATAGTCCAGTATCCAAATTTGATGATTCTTATAACAATCAATTCTTTGTTAAGAAAAAACACAAAACTTGCTTAGTTTGGACCATTGAGTCACAAAGTTGATTATATGTTAATGAATATAAAAAATGCATTAGCTTAAATAACCTGTGACTAACGGTCCAGATTAAATAAAATTTATACCATTCGATTCCTCTCGACAAAAGGAATCGAATGGTATAAATTTCATTTAATTCTGATCACAGGAGCATGAGATATCACAATACCTAATTCGCTATAATACCTCCATCACCTTTACAATTAAAATAAAAAAAAATAATGTTATTTAATCATATCATATCATTATTTTTAGAAATAGATCGAAAATTTTAACAATGACATAAAGAAATCAAATCATCATATTTTACTCATCCTGGATAGCACTTCTTCACATGCTACTACTAATCTTACTCTAACTAATGTAGAGGTACTCAAACTACCTCCATATGTAACATCAAAAATATAGCCCATGGATGCTAACATAATTGTATCATTTAAGCTTCATTATCGTCGTATGCAACTTCAATATACAATTAAGCGTAACGAAGCTGAAACAAGCGCTCTATATAAAGTTAATCAATTGCAAGCTATGAAATAGGTAAAGGTTGCCTGGGATGAAGTATCTGCTACAACAATAAAGAACTGCTAGTTTTATACCAAAATTATATCTCCTCATGATAAAGATGAAACACTAGTTGTCTCATCTCCTCTTGTTAAAGATATAGAAGAAAGCTTACTTATTAACCCAGATAATGAATTAGCTGCTGAGGAGCTTTAACAAACACTAGATATGTTGCATATTCGTAATCTAATGTCAATTGAAAACTTGTAGATTTCGAGAAAGAAAGAAAGAATATACATCAACAATTTGATGATAATGATTTGATTCAAGGTGCTACAGAAATAGAACAAGTAGAAAATGAAGTTATGATACAACTTTTAAATAGAAAGAAACAGTTGGATATTCTGTGCAATGCTTTGAGAATCATTGATGAGAGAATTGATGATGGTGGGATCACAATGAGGTCTTTACATAAGCTTCAATTATGTATTTGTGAGGAAGTTCAAAAAGAAAAAGCAGAAAAACAGGTCCAATTTACGCTGGATCAATTCTTGTCAAGGCTTGAACAATAAATAGCATAACGTATTGGATTTAATTTTAGAAATAAAGGATAGGTAAGTGCAAAAAAACAAAAAAAAAAGTTTTGAATAAATCAAACATACAGGTAAGATTTTTTGGAAACATAACTGAAAAATTATAATTTTCTATAATTTTACTATACTGTCATAGTGGAAATTATTATAAATAAATAGCAGTTGCTTATTAGCAGGTATAGAGCGCTTGTTTCGGATTTACTAATAGCTTGTAAAACATAATAAATTAATAATTTAAGCACTTCTAAAGAGCACTCTATATGTAAAACTATATTGTATATATCGTATAAATAGCTACAGTACTTAGTATCTTATAGATATAAAGTTCAAATAATGTAATTTCTTTATTTAA